GAGGGCATCGTGCCCATTGGCACGCTCCAGGTCCTTAGCCCGGTTCCGGTGCCGGACGGCCCTTTCCACCTTTCTCAGATGCCACTTGTGCACAGGGTAAAGAGTGGATTGTTTCACTGTGCAGACACGTGGGCGAAGGCCCGGCACACTGTGTTCCGCTTGGCTGGCCGTGCCTGGGGCACCCTGCGCCTGGCGTCCTGCCCAGAGCCGCAGGGCGGGCTCCATGGTCTTAGCACGGCTCTGTGCATCTAACAAACAGCTGCCGCATTTTGCAGCTACAGCTTGAACCTCTCTAGTCTGGCCCCCTCGGGACCTGAGAGGTGACGAACCAGAGAATTTGCCAAACCCCGGGAGGTCAATATTGTCTAGCAGCATTGTCATGGCTCCTTCCCCACTCTGGCATGATAAATGCAGAAGTGGGGGCCAGCAAGTGTACCCCAAAGCCTTATCTACCAGGCTTTGGTATAAAACTTCCCCCAAGATCTTAAAAACCTAGATCTTGGGAATAAAACTTCCGCTGCCACCACCCAAATGTTGCTAAAGAAACCAGGGGAAAGATCATTTGGGAAATCTTCCCCCTAAAACAAAAATCAGGGCACACCATTAACCACTGCCAGGTTAATAAAATAAAAGAAAGAACTTTTATTATTACAACAATATTCTGGTTGCAAGTATAATGACTAGAGAGGAAGGTAACAAAATATACTCATGGAGAAACTCCATGGGCCTAGAACTTAGTTACACAGAAAAGCCAAAACATCTTTTAAGCAGTGCCAGATCTCAGATCCCATACCCAACCCTTAAAACAATAAAGCCTAACGAAACTACCTAAACTTTACCCTACTTACAGAAAATGAAGAATGATGTCTTGGAGAGAGAGAGACATGCTTGTCCCTCTCTGTACCTGCAGAGAACTCTCCGAGAGACAAAAAGGGAGAAAAGAAAAAAACCCAAATTCCTTTGTCCCAGTTTGAAAAGTCCCACCTACATTCCTATTGGTCACTCCACCTGGCTAGGTGTAGTTAACTCCTTAATCCCCAGGCTGCTGGCTAACCCTCATAATCATGACAAGCATTTCCAGCACTTCCACTGCTCACTGGGCTCTTCGAAGCCATGTTGGGTACATTAGAGCTAAATAACAGCACAGAACACTGAGGCTACGTCTGCCCGACAAGGTTATTTCGAAATAACAACTCCCACAATAACTATTTTGAAATAAGCTGATTCCTCGTCACAAGCAGGCATTGTTATTCCAAAATAACTCCCCAGTGTCGACATGCCCCGAGAGCCAGGACTGGGGGCTGTAAACAAACTTTATGGGACCGCGGGAAACTCGGCCACCCCCATGCTAAGCGGACAGCCGGCTAATTAAAATCACACCGGACCACCGATGGTGCTGGACTAGAGAGGGTCGATCTGTACAGCCTCTGAAATAATCATTGGGCTTCATGCTGTCTTGGGGGGATAGGTCAATATTATCCCCCATGTCAGTGCTGGGGAAACTGAGGCACGGAGATGGGACCTTAATTGCCTGAGGGTCAGGAGCAAGGGCAAGCACACAACCCAGGAAGCCCTTGTCTGAATGGCCTGCTCTAAGCATTGGAATATACCTGGGTGGGGTGGGGCCACGGGAAGGAGGCCACGGGAACCGAGACCTAAGGGGTTCTTGCACTAGGAGCTGGGGAGTGAGAACAGGAGCCCTTGTCTCTCTGGAGCAGCCATAGCTCACAGCAGGGTAGGGCTGGGGATTGTTTGGAAGGTCTGCAAGCCAAGGGGGGAAGATCTAATCCCCTTCGGTAACCAAACCCCTCCCGTTTCAGGGGGGTCGGGAAGGGGTTTCTGGCTCTGCATTGGTCTGGGCCCCCCTCGCCCAGAAAACGGGGGAGTTCTCCCTCTGCAGCCAATACTGACCCCTCCCCAAGGGGGAGAGCGTGGGAGGAGCGGGGCAGCGGGCGGGAGGGTTCCAATCCAGAGGAAGAGGAAGGTGAATTTGCCCTGGAGCAGAGGCAGGGCCGAAGGCGGGAGCTGCCAGCTGGGTTAGGAATCCTGGCCTGAGCTGCCTGCGCCGCAAAGCCGCAAGCAAGCGCCTCCTGGCCAAAGACAACGTCCTGGTTCCCGTCCACCGGGAGGACACGCTGAACGCCACCCCTGGGACCCAGCGCGCCGCCCTGGCACGCGCCCGGCTCCTGGAGCACACAGAGACGCTAGCTCAGCAGAGACTCCGAGCAGGGCCCGGCCCCTCCCCGCCAGGGCACAGTGCCTGCGAACCCCCAGCACTGAGACAGGACTGCATTGCCCCCCCAAAACTAGCACACAGCACCTGTGAACCCCAGCACTGAGACAGGGCCGCGTTGGCCCCCCAAAACTAGTGCACAGCACCTGTGAACCCCAGCACTGAGACAGGGCCGCGTTGGCCCCCCAAAACTAGTGCACAGCACCTGTGAACCCCAGCACTGAGACAGGGCCGCGTTGGCCCCCCAAAACTAGTGCACAGCACCTGTGAACCCCAGCACTGAGACAGGGCCGCGTTGGCCCCCCAAAACTAGTGCACAGCACCTGTGAACCCCAGCACTGAGACAGGGCCGCGTTGGCCCCCCAAAACTAGTGCACAGCACCTGTGAACCCCAGCACTGAGACAGGGCCGCGTTGGCCCCCCAAAACTAGTGCACAGCACCTGTGAACCCCAGCACTGAGACAGGGCCGCGTTGGCCCCCCAAAACTAGTGCACAGCACCTGTGAACCCCAGCACTGAGACAGGGCCGCGTTGGCCCCCCAAAACTAGTGCACAGCACCTGTGAACCCCAGCACTGAGACAGGGCCGCGTTGGCCCCCCAAAACTAGTGCACAGCACCTGTGAACCCCAGCACTGAGACAGGGCCGCGTTGGCCCCCCAAAACTAGTGCACAGCACCTGTGAACCCCAGCACTGAGACAGGGCCGCGTTGGCCCCCCAAAACTAGTGCACAGCACCTGTGAACCCCAGCACTGAGACAGGGCCGCGTTGGCCCCCCAAAACTAGTGCACAGCACCTGTGAACCCCAGCACTGAGACAGGGCCGCGTTGGCCCCCCAAAACTAGTGCACAGCACCTGTGAACCCCAGCACTGAGACAGGGCCGCGTTGGCCCCCCAAAACTAGTGCACAGCACCTGTGAACCCCAGCACTGAGACAGGGCCGCGTTGGCCCCCCAAAACTAGTGCACAGCACCTGTGAACCCCAGCACTGAGACAGGGCCGCGTTGGCCCCCCAAAACTAGTGCACAGCACCTGTGAACCCCAGCACTGAGACAGGGCCGCGTTGGCCCCCCAAAACTAGTGCACAGCACCTGTGAACCCCAGCACTGAGACAGGGCCGCGTTGGCCCCCCAAAACTAGTGCACAGCACCTGTGAACCCCAGCACTGAGACAGGGCCGCGTTGGCCCCCCAAAACTAGTGCACAGCACCTGTGAACTGCTCAGCACCTGTGAACCCCGGCACTGAGACAGGACTGTGTTGGCCCCCAAAAACTAGTGCTCAGCACCTGTGAACCCCGGCACTGAGACAGGACTGTGTTGGCCCCCAAAAACTAGTGCTCAGCACCTGTGAACCCCGGCACTGAGACAGGACTGTGTTGGCCCCCAAAAACTAGTGCTCAGCACCTGTGAACCCCGGCACTGAGACAGGACTGTGTTGGCCCCCAAAAACTAGTGCTCAGCACCTGTGAACCCCGGCACTGAGACAGGACTGTGTTGGCCCCCAAAAACTAGTGCTCAGCACCTGTGAACCCCGGCACTGAGACAGGACTGTGTTGGCCCCCAAAAACTAGTGCTCAGCACCTGTGAACCCCGGCACTGAGACAGGACTGTGAGTGCCTGGGATCCTGGCACCAAGATGTGACCAGGTCCCCCCAAAGTAGCGCACAGCACCTGGGAACCAATGCGCTCAGACATGCCCGTGTCTCCCCACCCCCACATACACACACGTGCACTGCACCTGGGAATCCCGGCTTCGAGAGGTCCCGGCATCCTCCCCAGCAGCACACATGCCTGGACAGGGTTCCCTGGAAGCTGTGCATGGGGGAAGCCACCCAGGGGAGATTTCAAAGCCGCCCAGCTGATTAGCAGAGCGCCCAGAGCCAGCAGCCTGTGTTTCTACGGGTGGTGCACATCTGCACATGCCGCCTGCACATAAAATTTATTCCACACATGGAATTCCCTGCACCAAGACATGACCTGTTCCTCCCCCTAGAGCACATCTGGGAACCCAGCACCTAGACAAAACCCCTCTCACGCCCCGAACCCCAGCGCCAAGAGGTGACCATGTCCTGTCCCATCCCATCACCACCCCTCCCCCAGCACCTGGGAACCCCGACACAGACGTGACCCCTTTCTTCCCCCTCATCCCTGCGACATTATAGCTCACTCCCTTTGCAACAGCCCCTTATTGGCAAGTCTCAGGAGCAGGGGAAAAGCGGCACTGCCTTTCAGAAGGAGCCCCAACCCGCAGCGGACGGCGGACCATGTCCTGTCCCATCCCATCACCACCCCTCCCCCAGCACCTGGGAACCCCGACACAGACGTGACCCCTTTCTTCCCCCTCATCCCTGCGACATTATAGCTCACTCCCTTTGCAACAGCCCCTTATTGGCAAGTCTCAGGAGCAGGGGAAAAGCGGCACTGCCTTTCAGAAGGAGCCCCAACCCGCAGCGGACGGCGGGCAGCGGGGGCGTTTGTAGGAATTCCGTTCTGTCGTTCTAGTTGTGGTGCGTACAACAACTGAATGACACGAGAAACGTGTTAACACAATACGCGGGTGTGTACTTACATTATTTACAAAGGTCCCTTTCGCTCGGCCCAGCCTCCCTGGCGCGCTGTTGCCTCCGTGCGGTACACGCCCGTCTTGAACCGTGGCAGCGGATCCTGGAACACGGGAACACGGTCATCAGAAAGCTGATGAATTTGGGTGTGTTTTCTTAGTGGCACGGGAGCAGGGCGAGGCGGGGTCTAAAACTCGAAGGAAGTGCCTTTGCACGGACCCGTCAGGCACGGAAACCACTCCTACAGCCATCTGTAAGCAATACGCTTGGGTTGAAGTCACGTCTTACAAAAAAGCGCAAGTGAGTAACCTCCAAATGACACAGACTTTCCAGTGCATGTCAGCAGGAGGGGGGGCGAGAATTCCTTCGCTGTTATTTACGTCTGGCAGCGGTGGGGGCCTTGTGACCTGTGTCAGTGCTGGGGAAATCAGGCAGATGGGCCATCCCAGCCCAGTCCTGCTGGGTGTTCCCCCTGCCTGGAAAGGCTGCCTCCGAGAACCGCTCAGTCCACCGGGCCCATTCTGCTCGCTGGCACCACTGGCAGGCACGGGGCCGAGCAGTGAGAGGGAGACAGGACTCAGAGCATCCGAGGTCTGTCTCCAGCTCGGCTGCAGATGGTCTGGAGGCGTCGTGTGACTGCCCCCTGCCTCAGTTTCCCCATGCGTGCAGCGAGGATGACCTGCCTCCCCAGAGGGTGGTGAGGATCAGCGTATGGCTGAAGGCACTAGGCCAGCACAGCGAATCTTTTTGGTGAAGGGGGACACCTCTCCCATGGGGCGCTCCTTGGAGTCACAAATTCTCTGGGCCCAGAGCCCCCTACCTGGCTGCTTCCCCCCCAGTCGACTTCACGTGTACGGCAACAATCAGGGAAACGACTTCAATGAGCATTTGACGGCTCCACCTCAGGCACCATGTCCCCCGCTCCAGCGATGGGGGAGAGAGCTGCCCCGCTCTGGCTGTCCTGGGGATCTCCTGGCCTGCTGGCAGCAGTGCTCCTCTGTATCCATCTGCAGGGCTAGCCGGGGCCTATCCCCTGGGATTGCAGACACTCTCGAGCTCAGCATGCCCTGGAACTGGGGAGCCCCAGGCCGGGGGTGGATGAGCCAAAGGGGGCTTTCCAGCCAGCCTCCGGGTGGAAAACTCCAGCCCATGAGGCTCAGGCCCCTGGCTGCGCCCTCAGTGTTGCTGCTGTCTGGTCAACTCGCCGGCTGCCCAAGGAGAAACCTGCAGCGACGTGGGGCGTGAGAGAGAGGCAAGTGAGCCAAGTGAAAGTCTGCCGTGGCCTCTCGAGCTGGCTGTGGCCCGTGGCGTTCTGCAGTCGCTGGGGAAAGCGGTTGTGCGTTGTGGGAGGGCGTGAGCCCAGCGTGCGCGCCCGCCACACGTGTGTGTTGTGCTGACGAGTGCCTGGCGCGTGTGCTCAGTGCTGGCCTGGATGTGCGTGGGGCCCGTGGGTTAGGGGCGTGTCCGTGGGCAGCGGGGCTGCGTGTGGTGTGGGCTTGCTGCTCGTGTGTGTGACGTGTCCGGCAACAATCGGCGTGTGGAGAGTGTGTTGGGTAGGGGAGGTTAGTTCCTCATTACACCATATAGCAGAACCAAACGGTCCTCACGCCCTTTACTCTGCCCCTGCTGTGCATCTTTGCTCCCGTACCTTCAGCTTCTCCTCCTCCGAGGCCTTCCACAAAACCCCCGCGCGGCCCAGACCTCACAGTGCTCCCCTCAAAGAGCTGGGATCCCTGCTCGCCTCGCATCCCCCCTCCTTCCCCAGCCCTGCCTCTGGGCTCTGCTCACTCCCGAGAAATCCCCACAAACATGAGCCAGCCCGGCTCCCCTTCGCACGAAGACTGGCCTGTCCGTCCACAACACGGAGGGACGGACAAATTCATCCCCTTCTCCCTCCCCTTCCCAGCCATCCCCCCCTTTTTCTTTGCCTCTATCCCTGGGGGGGGGGGGTTAAGGGCAGGGAGGTGTCACGTCAGGTCTGTGGGTCTGTCTCTCCCTCTCTCCTCCCACTGGTTACAGCATTTCCGACACTGGGAGTTTTTTCCCCTTGTCTTGTAGCTCTTGGCGCTCTCTGAAAGTCCCCGATTTCCTTTGGCGCTTGGGAGGAGAGACACAAGGAGGGGAAGGCGGGGGGAGAGGCAGCCGGAGCTGAAGCT